CCTGGACCTAGCTCCTCCTCTAGGCCCCCTGAATATAATCTAGAACACACCCACAGTTCGCTCTCTTGAGCACTCTCTCTGAAACCCCCCATCGCTCTCTAACGTCGCCCTCTATAACTCTGCTTTACCTCTCAAGCCCAGCTTTCTATTCCGAATCCTACCCATCCCTCTTTACTTTCTAGTATTGCGCAGCTAGAACTTCTTGGCATGTGGTCTTAGCTGGTCTGAGTCCATTCGTCATTCTTTTCCAATTTCCTCCCCATCCTTACCCCTTCGCTGGAAGTTTGGAGCCACGTAGTTGCAGCTAGGTAATTATACCCCAGAGCATCAACCATCGTTTTCCTGCAAATTGCAACTGTGCTGAATTACTCTATCTTGATTTCTTCGTTCTTGTGTGCTGTGATTGTTGTATGTTATTAAGTGAAGTGTGTCAGTAAACTATCATTATTATTAAGGAAGTCTGCCTCAGTCTCTCATTGGGAACCTCGGAAACAGCGACATCCTCCGTAAACATAGACGGTAGAATCCCGAAAATGATAGCTGTACCAATTGTTTCTCTTTGAAAGCAATTCGGCTAACACCAGCTCACACATTTTTGTCTTCGCTCAGGAAGGGATGGCTCCAGAGCAAACTAATTGATGCAGTAGCCCAATCGCTCACTCACAACTTTAATGCCGGTAGCTCACCAAATAGAATGTTTGCTCACGAGGACTCCACCAGCTTAGAGGGCGCATTGGTGAGGAGTGGATGAAGGAGCACCAACGTACCCTGGAAGTTGAGTGCCGTGGAGCTGGCCTCCACTGGCGTGCCAGCTCCAGCTGGATACCCAAGCAGAGGAGTGGGAGGAGGAGGAGGCAAAAGAGGAAGAGGTGCCCCAGCCTGGATCTGCTGGCCTCAGTCATGCCACACACCTGCCCTAGCCCCACTAGCTTCTAAGCACCTCTGAAAGTTCTTGCACTGCACTGGGCACAGCAGGCAGGCACCCCGCTAGCCCCACCTCACCTCACCTGCCCACCTGGCTGCCTTGTGCCACCGCTGCTGCCAGCTCGGGATCCACAGCTCCTTCCCCAACCGCCAGCCCGTGATTGAGCTGGCGGGGCTGCTGGCAGGTGGGGAAGTCAACCCTGCCCCTGGAAGGGCTGGAGGGTGTGGACACTGCTGGGTTTGCTCTTGCTTCAACTCCCTTCTTAGCTAGGGTTGCCAAGTGAGATTTTCACTGCATCCACGTCACCCGGAAGTGACGCAACCACGCCGGGCACGCTGGGGGCGGGGCCACGACCATCTGAGGGAAAAACCATAGAGTTTTCCCTCGGATGACCCAGCGTGCCCGGCGTGGTTGCATCACTTCCGGGTGACCTGCATGTCAGGGTGGGGTTCCCCCCGGGGCCCGATCTGGTGGCGATGGGGAACGGGCCTCTGGGGCGGGGTTTTCCCCACCCCCCGGGGGGACTTGGCAAGCCTATTCCTAGCAAGCTTGGGGAAGGGGCTGTGGTGGGGAGTCAGGGGGCTTGGGCTGGATGGGAAGTCCCAGGGCCTTGACAGGAAGTTGGGGGGGGATGGGTCCTGAAATGCCTCACTGTAGCTATGGGTTGAGAATTAGACATAATGATGATGACTGAGAACACTACGGTAAATCACGGTGGGAATTGCCATGTTTATCTAACTCCTCTTTATTTGCACATCCCCCCTAGAGTTCTTAAAGTTTAAATCAGAAGAATGAGTAATTAACTGTGAAGTTTAAAGGGCTTATTTGAAGCGTTTCCCTAGGCATTCCATTTAAGACTTCTGTGATACCGGTATATTCCAGGAGGACCTCTAGTACTGTATTTCTAAAATGGCAAGGAACAGGTACCTGCAAAATCAGTGTCTTCTGTCACCAGGAAGAGGCAATGCTGTCCTTTTCTAAGAGTGAAGAACAGATTTGCTAATATGTCCCACATAAGCAACTTTGCCCAGAACTTCTTTGAATGGGACCTTTGGCATTTCACCATTTTCTCCAGTCTATTCCTTGGACGGCTTTAGGAGACTGTGTGGCATGTAGTGCAGTTGGTCACCTTGATTTGCCGTCAGATCAAACAAAACAAAACAAAATCCCTTCTGGACCTCTTTCTTCCAAGTCATCAGTCCTTGCAGAGACAGTCAGTGGGAGCATTGACCTTAAAAAAAAACACCCTTAAAGCATATTTTGTGGACTAGTGAGGTTCTATGAGAAGAGGACTGTATTTAATTGAATTTCCTGGTCTTGATGAGGAAGGCTAGGCCGCTGGCCCCAACGGCTTTCTTACAGCCTGACTGCTGTACTTAGGAAAGAAGAATACATATTGAAGAAGATTTCAGCCTTCTGTTTAGACATCACTAGATAAGTAACAACTCGTTACCAACAGAAGTAATATGTGGATAAGTGCTGTCTATCCTGGGAGCCATGGTGTTTACTTTGGCGCTCTGTGTTGTGATGCTCATTTCCAGAGGACATTTCTTCAGTCACATCTGTACCAGCCTCTGGATCGTTTTTGTTTGTGGGACTTCACTTGCAGCCAGCAACCCAACCAGGTAGTGTCCTTTTCTTTCTCAACACTGTCCCTTCTATCTCAAACTGGCCTGGAAGAGGGGCCTTTTTCTCATGCTTCCCATTGCCCGAAGGGGTAGATGCTTAACTTTGGGAGTGATCCGTTGCAGGATCAGTGAAGCTGTAGCTAGCAATGGCAGGAACAGTCCGGGTTTGCTGCTCTGTCTGAGGATTTATGGTGCAGCCTCATTTGGAATACTATGTACAATTCTGGTCACCATATCTCAAAAAGGACATTGCAGAGATGAGAAAAGTAGAAAGGAGGGCAACCAAGGTGATTAGGAAGTTGGAGCTCCTTCCCTAAGAGGAAAGTCCTAAGAGTCTGGGACTTTCCAGTTTAGAAAAGAGACAACTAAGGAGGGACATGCTATATGCATGGGATGGAGTCAGTTGACAAAGAGAATTGTTTCTCCCTGTCCCAAAATCCTAGAACTCAAGGGCATCCAATGAAGCTGATGGGCAGTAGATTCAGAACAGACAAAAGGAAATACTGCTTTACACAGAGAGTGACTAAAATGTGGAATTTGCTACCAGAGGATGAAGTGATAGCCACAGGAATAGACAGATTCATGGAGGATAAGTCTATCAGTGGCTACTAGCCATGGTGACTGATGGGAACCTTCATATTCAGAGGCACTAAACCTTTGAATCCCAGAGCCAGGATGTAACAGCAGGAGAAGGCCTTGGCCTCTATGCCCTGTTGTTGGCTCTCCAGAGGAACTAGTTGGCCACTGTGTGAGACAGGATGCTGGACTACATGGACCACTGGTCTGATCCAGCAGGGCTCTTCTTATGTTCTTATAAAGGCCTTAGCTTCTGTGCTCTGGTGCTGGACCTCCAGAGGAACTAGTTGGCCACTGTGTGAGACAGGATGCTGGACTACATGAACCACTGGTCTGATCCAGCAGGGCTCTTCTTATGTTCTTATGTATTACTAAACACTGCAGATAGCAGGTAATGAATAGACATTATTGTGGTTGACCAAATTCAGGGTGCTGATGAATGAACAGTATATGCTTACCCAGGAGGCAGGGTAATGAGGCTTGGCACTTTTTGTTGAAGGTTTTCTGTGAGCCACAGCACTGCTATGCTGTTGAGCTCTGAGCAAGGGTGACTTTTTAACTATACTGGTAGCCTAACGGATTGCTCAAAAGTTACTACAGTAAAATGAGAAAGGACCTGATATTTTGCTTATGTAAATCAGTTAATAAATAAACCCATAATTGAATAATTAATAAGGTCACACATTCTTGACATCGAGTTTTCCTACCTGGTTTCCCGGCCAAAGCAACTAGTCCTTTCCCTCCCTTTCTTCCCCCCAGCTCCTCCTGCAAAAATATTATAGCACAACTAATTAGTAGAAGCACCACACAGCTTTTGCAGAGTAGAATTGCGATCAGTATGGAACCCCGTTTTTTGTCATTGTCTGTTCAGACTCAAAAGTCAGATTTTAAAGGAATCACAATATGTGCAATTGTTTCATATTAGCCAAGCACTGTCTTCTTCTTCTTCTTTTTTTTTAAGGAGGAACGAGTCTCTTGAGAGAAATGTAAGACATATTGTGAAATTATTTCACATTGTTGAGAAGGTAGGCTACGGTCACACAAACTAAATAATCCACTTTCAGACAGGCCCGTAGCCAGGATTTTTTAATTCGGTGGGCCTTTAAATAAGTCAGGGGGCACCCTGCACCCACACCCCAAGGGAGCGCCTGGGCTGGATGGGAAGTCGGGGGCCTTGGCGGTAAGTCAGGGGGCCGTGCCCCAAGATGCCCCACTGTAGCCACGGGCCTACTGTCAGAGCACTTTCCAACTGGATTTTACTGTATGGACTGGCAAAAATCCAGTTGAAAAGTGCACTGAGAGTGGACTGGAAGTGGATTCTTTCGCGTGAGTGACCACAGCCTGAGTCGTTTTTTTAGAAGTCCATAATTTCTTTAAAAATAGCATTTTTTCAGTGAACTGTAAGAATATGATGAAAATAAGTTTAAGTTTAAGGCTCTGGAACATTTTTAGGTTTTACTACTATTATGTTTTAAGGAGATTTATATCCATGAAGTTAGTATTGGGGACTTTCCCAAACTTGTGAGTAATAATCATAAAGATTTACTGTGGGGAATGAATAAAACCTGACTCTAAATACAGAACTAAAGCAAAAGGCATTGTATGTATTAAATAATAATCTCTACTGCCATGGCGACAACTTAATTCCTGGTCTACGTGTCACTGAATCCACTGGTTCCACTGACCTTAAAAAACCATGGAATTAGATGAACTGAAGGCTCGTTAATTTCATTCCGTTTGCACTGCACTGGGTTTAGAAACAGGTAGATCCCAGGGACCAGAATGTTTTATGGATAAGCAAAACTCTGCCTGGGCCACTTCTAAACGGTTCATTTCTTCATTCCTACAGAAGCAACAAGGCAAAGAATGTCATGGGACCTCCAAATGACACAGTGGTGACTGAATTCATCTTGGTTGGGTTATCTGAACACCCCCGAGCACAGGCTGTGTTCTTTTGGTTCCTCTTGGTGGTATACCTCACAAGCTTTCTTGGGAATGGCCTCATCATCATATTGATAATTGCAGACTCTCATCTTCATTCTCCTATGTATTTCTTTCTTTGTATCCTCTCCTTGGTGGATCTCATTATTTCCAACAATGCACTTCCCGAAGTCATGGCCAACTGCTTCTCTGACAGGGCCACCATCTCCTTCTACAGATGTTTGGTTCAGATGTATGTTGGTCTGTTGCTCGTTGTAATAGAATGTCTTCTTCTGGCTGTTATGGCATATGACCGCTTTGCAGCGATATGCCAGCCGCTCCACTACATGCAGATCATGAGCTGGAGGTTTTGTACCACTTTAGTATCTTTATGTGTGGTCCTTGCCTTACTGAATACCTTGATCAACATATTGTTGCAGCCAACGGACTTCTGTGGACACAATATCATTAATCATTTTGCATGTGAGTTACAATCATTCCTTAAACTGGCTTGCTCTGATATACGTGCAACTGAGCTCTACATGCAAGTTACCAGCTTCTTTATCCTAATACCCCCCTTTGGCTTCATCGTTGTAACTTATGGGCGCATAGGCTTAGCTGTCCTGCGCATTCGTTCAACACAGGGTCGCAAGAAAGCTTTCTCCACCTGTAGTTCTCACCTCATGGTGGTCAGTGTCTTTTATAGTACAATCATGATCATGTACTTGAAACCCCAAGCGAAATCTGCTTCAGATCAAGATAAAGCCATATCTTTAATGTATGGGGTCTTAACTCCCACGCTCAACCCCCTGATCTACAGCTTGAGAAACAGAGATGTGAAGGGAGCTTTCTGGCGACTGTTTGGAAGGAAAATATCAAAATAAAGACTACCCCCATACACTCCATTTCTTCTTAAGGTAATCTTGATCATACACAAAACACCATTTCTGTGTAGAAATGCGTAATTCATCAATTTTACTTTATAAGGGATTCACTTTATAAGGGATGGCCGCCATGTTTAAACTGTAATGTTCTAAATGTAATTTTAATGTTAATAAGTTTTATTGGCTGTTTTATTGATGGTTTCTAGATGTGATGTATTAATTTTACTGGTTTTTAATTGTTGTAAGCCACCCTGAGCCGCTTCGGCGGGAGGGCGGGATAAAAATCTAATAAATAAATAAATATGACAAACAGCTTGTCCCTGTTTTACAATCAACATGTCTCCTGTTAGTGATAATTTCTGGCGGCACGGAAATATGGAAGATTACAGGTATTTCCTACACATAATTGATTTCTTTAATGGACGTTAATCTGGTTTGATGTAGCCATTATGTTATATTGGACAAAATGAGCGGAGAATGATACCACTGACTGTAGCTCCTGGGACAAAAATATTGGTGTAAACATAAGTCAAGTTTAACTAATATTGTTTTAACAAGAAAGTAGGGCAGGAACTGGATTCTTGATGCCTCTAGGTTCTGATTGAAATTCTCAGTTTATCAACAATGCCATGTGGACAGTCGATCTCAGAACACTGGGTTGTATTTTGATGTTGTAATCCAGATTGCCTCTTCCTTAGTGAAAGACAGACATTGGCCTCCCACAGGAAGCTGCAGCATTCGCTGAATCAAAAGCAAAGCAAATCTTTGGAAGAGGAATAGGATCCCGGATTGGAGAATGGGACCACTGACCTTTTCTGCCATTGTTATTTCCTGGTACCAAAGATGAGATCACAACTCAAAATATTGTAGATGTGTGATGTTTTATTCAGGGCTGTGTATTGGGATCTACCCGAGCCAAAAATATTTCGGCATCCCAAGTGTATTCGGGTTTTTTCAGGAAAACCAGGGGGGGAAATCCTGAGAAAATTTTAGGTAATTCGGGAATTTCCGGTAGATCCGAAACAGCTCCTGCCTGCCAGCTGTTTGTCATGCTTCTGCAATCCCTTTAAACATTAAAGAGGCTGCAGAAGACAGCCCCCTACCGGCTCAGCTTGGGGCTGGCTGGCTGGCTGACTTCTCTTGCAGCCCTGTTTAAACTGGAGCTGGCCCCTCTTGTAGCTCCATTTAAATTGAACTGCAAGAGAAGTCAGCTGAGGATTGGCTGGGGCGGCCAGAGCTGAGAGCTCCCCTCTGCCTCTGCATGGCATTGCCTTCTCTTGAAACCTGGTTTAAGCTGGGCTGCAAGAGAAGTAAGCCCGGGATCAGCTGTGCCTGCGGGGAGCAGACTGTTCCCTGCGGGTACAGCTACTGTTCTGCAATTTCCCCCCTATTTTTTTCTTCTCTGGTCTACTCGACCCCACCCCAAATTTTTGAAATTCCCAGATCCAAATACCCCATTGGTATTGGGATCTGGGATTGTTTGGGAAACCTGAAGATGTTTTCGGTTCTATGTACCCAAACTGGGGAAAAAAGGATGGCAAAAACTGCATACCCCTAGTTTTATTCTTTCATCTGCTAATGTTTAGGACTACTATGCTTTTTCTGTTGAACACCAAATAAAAAGCATTTGAAAATGTCACTTTAGGTTTTTCTCTTACCTTGGATTGACTGCTGCTCATACAACCTACAGGCTATTTGTAATGTCTTTTCAGAGTGAATGAGCACAAGATTGAAATATCTGGGGAAACCCAATAATTGCCTACTCTTCAATGTCCATATTTCATGAGATGTATACATTGGCATAGATGTCACTTCATTTTAAAAACATTATCCTGCAAAAACAAAGAGGATGGAGAATGGATAAGAGGGATGCCCATTTAAGTGTTTCTGGTCTGAATATATATCCCAAAGAAAGCTAATTTTTTGATATATCAGAGTATCCATTATTACCCAAATCTCCTGACTAAAGGGGTGTCCACCTTTTAAAGTGTCAAAAGTGTATACACATGTGTGCTCACGACAAATAGTATTGGGACTGTCTTACAAAGATCTGGTCTAACACCTCAGAAAGGTGCATAGATTCTTAGAAATAAACACACAGTTGGTTTCAAGTTTATTATTTATTTATTTATTTATTTGATTTATACCCTGCCTTCCCTTGGTTTATTAAGGAAAAGAATAATAGCAAAGAGAATTAGCAAACTGAATACAGAGTCTGAAACATGCGTACACATACACAAGAAAAGTTCTACAAATCCTAACTTCAACTAAATCCTAACATCATGGAATAAGACTAGAGTCTAAAGAGAAATGGTGGGGAGAAGGAGGGGAAAAGATATCCTGATCTGTCCTGGTGAGTGAGATCCTGTATAGTTCATCAGAGGAAGGAGAAAGCGACGTGGGAGAGGGCCATGTGGAAGAGCTGAGCAAGATCTTCACAGACATCTGCATTAGGATATCAGGGCTGATCCTGAGTCCTGCACACAATCCCCACTACCCATCCATAGGGTAGTACTGAGATGGGAAAGACTGGCTGGAACTAAAAGCTGTGGTTCTCACGGCTAACTTCATACCCCAAGAGTGTGAAGATAGAAAGGAAATACGATACTTCTCAGCAAGGAGAGGTAGTTTCCTCCTCTAATGTCCCTCTAGAGTGAGCAGGCAGGCTTGGTTTAGCTGAAATCTACTATGATCCATGCCCATCCTACCTATGGCCCTTGCATTTTGGGCTCGGCACTGTCAGGCTTCAGGCTGGCATGGAGACTGCAGGAACTGCCACCACCCACCTTGTCTTAGCTGCCTGACTCTGAGCTGGGCCTGCCCATCCTACCCATCCAGTGACAATGTGAGCCAGTGAGCAGGGTTAGGGGTGGGGGACAGGGCCACCTATTTGAGGATGAGCTCACAGCTCTCATAGACCGAAGTGATGGTGCTGTTACTGCCTTTCCCTCCACTAGTTCTAATGCTGCCCTGTGGAAGCATTAGTTATTGCTTTGCAGCTACTCCCTTACTTTTCTCCAGGGAGGTTCTTTTGCCATGGTGTTTTGGATGACTCTGAGACTCCTCACCACTTGTCAGCCTTTTAAGCTCCTCGGACTGTTTGACAGAGCCACATCTCCTTGCTTTACAGCAGTGTTTTTAATTGATGCCACATTTTGTCATTTCTTTGGTGGTGCTTTCACCCACCCTTTCGTTTGCTGAAGATCTTTTTTTTTAATTAAAAAAGCTGCTTATCTGCATAACCTGCAGTTGCATTTGTGATGACTGGCAAAGGAATGATTCCCCACACCAACACTTCTCCCTGCTTCAGCTGTGGATTTTCTTCACTGATTCACTCTTAGGGATGGGCACAAACCAGCTCACGAATTAAAGCTCATTATGAATTTTGGCCAGTTCATGGTCCGCAAAGCAATATTTGTGGCTGGTCAAGCAGCATGAACTTTCCACAAACTTTCCAGCTGTTTGTGGAGGTTCATGCCAGTTCATGACCAGATACATCTCCAGACAGACAGACTGTCTCCACTCAATCTAAATGTTTATACAAATTCAAAGCGATAACTTGGTGGGCATGTAGAGGGGCATCTGGGGGAGATCGCCTGTGACTTAGGTGTCTATAGCTTGCACAGGATCTGTTCTATACACTCCTGAACCTCCTGAACCTGCACCTGTCAAAATGATCCCCACCAAACTTGGAGGGCAAGTAGAGGAGTCAGCTGGAGATCCTCTGCAAAACTGGTGTCACTAGCATGCCTGGGGGCTGATCTATGCAGTCATAAACCTCATGAACCGAACCGGTTCATTTGACCACTAAAAGTTTGTAACAGTTCATGACAAAGGTCATTTCGGGGGGGATCGCGGGGGAACGCAGTTCCCCCGGGTGAGGTGCAGGGGGGCGGGACACATGACGAAGCCCTGCCCCCTGCTTCCAGCTGCCCCGCTTCCGGCCCTCATTCAGCCAGGAGGAGGCAGGAGAAGAGGGAGGGTAAGTTGCTTCCTCCCCACCTCTCCCCACCCCTGCCTGCCTGGGGCCAGGGAGGGCCTTGGCGGGGCTTCCTCGCACTCCTGCTGGCCTTGCAGGTCCACCGCCGGGCCCCTGATGTCAGGGGGTGTGGCATATGCTAATGAGTTATGCTAATGAGTTCCCCTAGCTCTTTTTCTATGAAACGACCCCTGGTTCATGATTTATTAATCGGGGATGCCACAAACCATGAACTGAACCTCATTTTTCTGGTTCATGCCCATCCATATTTACTGTTACTGCTCACTCACTCCAGCCTTGCTTGGTGCAGAAGTAGCTTGCAAGATGTGTGTATGCAAGCCTACTTGTGGGCTTACCCATGGGGGAGGTCAAGAGCAATAGTGCTGAGAGTATTATATTGTTTCAAGGAGGGATCCTGCAAGGACTTGCAGAGGTCACTTCATTTGCCTCTGTATCGCCTTCCCCAGATGACATTGTCTTTCTCTCCTCCAGGAAGTCCCCGTATCCTTTCCCTTTTCCCTGTTTTCTTCTGTCATTTCTACTGATAAACCATCCTTCTTTTATCTGTCCCCTTCCAGTCTTCACTTTTATTGTTAGTTACTTCATTTATACCCAGCCTTTCTCTCTGATGGGAACCCAAATCACCTTACATCATTCTCCTCGATTTTATCCCAGCAACAGTTCTGTAAGGCAGATTAGGCTGAGAGAAAGGGACTGGCCCATGGTCACACACCCAGCTTCCATGCAAAACTTTTGCAGTAGTAAGATGCTCTGCTGAAATGCATTATGGCCACTGGTGGCCAGGCTAAGTCATGTCAATTGTGTCGAGGCTGCTGCTGGGCCCCATTGAGTCATCCAGTAGCCACCAACACACCTGGGTTAGTTGCGCAAATTGTATGGTAGCACATTGTCTGGTAGTTGCTTTGGGGCATGGCCATGATGAAGAAGAAGGGGAGCAGTGGTGGTGTGGAAGGCCAAACTAGAGCTGGAAAGAGCCTTCCCTCCACCACTGCCTTTTGCT